TTTTTTTTTTTTTTTTTTTGATTATATATAATTTTCTGTTATACCACAATCACTCCAAATTCTAAGAAACATATTATGATAGTACAGCCAAGCATTTCCGATAAAAATACAATGCTCAATGATTTTCCAACCAGTGCAGAATATCTAAAATTTATTCGTATATGCAATAAAATTGAGAGAACAAAAATTTAAATTTTTAATATAAATATAAAAATCTTATTTTTAAATAAACAATTTAGAATCAATCCCAAAGATTTGATGTCCAAGCGACGTAATTCTCCCTCACATATATGATATCACCAGAGCCCATAAAAACAGGATCCTGATGACAGAGGTTTTTACTCAGGAAAAAGGAGAGTTACGTATAGACGTAAAAATAATAAGAATACATATATAAAATTTATATAAAAAATACAATTACACAAAACAGATAAATAAACCATTGTTAAATAGATAAAAGCAAACATCAAACACGTGTAATATAATATAATCTTACTCGATTGCTTTCAGGTGAGATTGAATAATGTCAACGATGCGACCACGCAAATCTCGGTTTTTTAAAATCGTCTCGATCCTTCTGTTGGTGACCTCGAATAGACCGCAGCAATGCATCGTTATAGAAGCGATCAAGCTGTAGATCCCATAATTCAAGGACATTATTAGAAAACTGGTGAACATTTGCACGACAAAGGTTATCTCGTAAGTTGGCGAATCTTCGATGACGAAGAAAACATAATCGCTCAAATATGGCAAAGGTATCTGAGTACTGTTATCAGCTTTGACGATCTTCTCTGATATCAAGGGCAAAATAATGTGATAGGGCAAGGCACCTCCGTAACCGAGGAACAGATACACGATTGTGAAGATTCGACCGATTTTCGCAGTATTCATCATTACCAACCGATCTTCTTCGCATTCCACGTCTCTGTACTGTATCTCCATCTCCATCAAGCAAAATCTGATCTCATTTCTGTTAATCAGAATCGTCCAGATCTTGATGATCGCCAAAAGGCTGAAAACCTGGGCGGCTATCACCTTCATATATTTGGTCAGATTTTCGCAATCGAAGTAAGTATAGATCACGTGTGGTAATAAGAGGAAACACATGAGAAAAAAAACGATTGTTATCTGAACGTAAAATTTAATGTTATTTGAAAACGTGTTCCTCCTTGGCCAGATTCCGACCATTGTCAATAATATTTTAGCCACCCGTACCGTATACTCAGCGTCCGATTTGTAATGAATATTACGATAATTCCTTATGTTTTTCGTTTTTACGCTCATATCGTCTGATAATAAAGAGTTTTTCCAATCCACGGTAGAAAACTCTTTGAACGATTGAGAACGACTGTAAGAAGCAATGGCGTATGATGGCCATTGGCGCTTGCGTGGAAAGCTGGATGAAAGAACCGATCGACGGACAAGTTGTTACCGTCTCATGAAAATTTAATAGAAAAATTTTCGAAAGAAGATTCAAAGATTCGAGCAATTTATTCAATACGGTACGAGCTGTATTGTTATGAGACGAAATACTTATTGCTACGGAAGTTGTAGTGCACATATTGCGATTTATGTCTATTTTGAGGTAAGATCGTACATTTTTCCGCATGAATAAATCGTGGTTCAAAGTTTTCTCGTATTTTCATCATTTTCTATAATATCCATGCTATTTTTTTTCTTTTTTTGTGTGTAATTTGATCAATTTCTTTCTTACTTTTCTTTTATGTTTCCTCTTATTGGTTTTCTTTGATAAGTACACGTCACATTTTGAGAAATAAATAAAATCACAAAGAGCAAATTGTAATATTGTCACTGACATGTTTATATTTATTGTAATGATAGAATATTACCACAGGGTAATATTTGGGACACGTAAGTGCACATTTTATTACGTAAAATAGATTATCTACGTAAGGAATTAAAAGCATCATTACAGAGTATCATTTGCGGAAACCATCGGCGTTACTATTCGATATGAATTGAAAAAGGTACGAATTTTTTTTTTTATTAAATTATTGTATGTTACGATAATACAATATAAAAATAATCTTTGCACTTTATTTCTGCTTGTCCAAATTTCTACATTCTGAATTATTATTTTTTTATTTATGCATATATAAAATATATTAAATATTAATAATTATATATATTATGTAATATTAAATAATAGGAAAATTATTACCTATTATGTAATATTTGTATTAACCTATAGTAAAAATATTTTTGTGTAAATTATTGTGTGATTAAAAAGTGAGAAATTATCACACTGTTACATGTTGTATTTGATATCAGTCTTTTGTGATAAATACGTTACATAAATATCACAATGTAATGAAGTATGTTAGATATTATATTAAAAACTTAATTGGAATTTTAACGAAACAATTTTTTGAGAAAATATACATTGAAATATTTATAGGATCAATATTTATTAAGAGATTTAAATATTTAAAAGAGCTCAGTTATCGTGAAATTTGATAATAATTCAATTGTTCAATATTTATTGTATAACTTTACAGAATTACTAATTATTTTACTAGTTATTTTTCTTCTTTTTTTCCAAAAATGAATAAAAGAACTGCAGTATCCAAAAAAGATACGATAAATATGACAAGTTATGTAGGCAATTACGTTTCAATAAAATGAAAATAGTGATAAAAATGAAAGAGAGATAAGCAAGATATTTATTACCATTCTCAAAACATTTCCTTATTTTTCTCTACTCAAAGTAATTTAAACAATTATATTATGTGCATTACATTTATACTTACTCTTAATCATTTCATTCATTTATCAACTTTTTCAAAACCTTTGGAATCCCTTTTGTGTGAATTTTTATACCGTCATTGCACGCAGAAAATTAAAGTAGGCTGCCGAAGTTTTGCAAACCTACAATAATTTTTTCGTTTTCAAGAATTTTTACAACAATAAATGAAAAATATAATAATATATATGAGGATTTACATCGCAAAATGCTTGAAGCGAAAGATCCAATATTTTGGCCCCAGACAGACTTGATGGTCGACTGGCTCTAAGTATGATTGTCTTTATATTTTTCGCCACTTTCGTTGGAAAATCGTACCATGGTATGAAATATGATGTTTCTCTTATTCTCTCACTCTTTTCGATATATGAAACGATTTTCAAGAAAAATAATATTCAAGAAAGAAGATATTTCAAGAAAAATAAAAATTAACAAATTTATTCGAGGCCAAAATAATTGTATGAGAAAATATACCTCTTGTTTAAGACGATCACCAATAAACGATATTATGAATACATTTACAAAAATCGATGTCATTAAAACAAAATACGTGACTGTGCTCAATGTTTTGTGATCTTCCAATTCCTAAAAATATTTTTGATTTTATTGATTCACTTCTTTTCTTTTTTTTTACTTTTTTAATTAAATATTATTTTTGTTATACCATAATTACACCAAATTCTAAGAAACATATTATGATGGTGCAGCCAAGCATTTCCGATAAAAATACGATGCTCAGTGATTCTCCAACCCGTGCAGAGTATCTAAAATTGATTTTTTATCACGAAATAAAAACATACAACTATAAAAATCAATAGCCAATCGACAAATAATCTATCAGACGCATAACGTGAAAAAGCAGAGTCCTGGTGATATAAAATTTAAAAAAAACAACAGGAGGATCATGTATAAACATGTAAAAACGATAAGTATTTATAAAAAATTTTATAAAAAATTTATTACATAAAATTAAACAAATAGCTGAGCAAACTATATCTATTAAACTAATAAACATAATGTTATATTTATTTAGTCAAATATTATATACAACATAATATACTTACTCGATTGCTTTCAGGTGAGATTGAACGATGTCAATGACACGATCATGCAAATCCCGATTATCCCACTTGCAAAGCGTCTCGATCTTTCTATTGGTAACCTCGAACAGACCGCAGCAGTGCATCGTTATAGAGGCGATCAAGCTGTAAGTCCCACAATTCGTAGACAAAATAATACTGCTGATGAATATTTGCAATACGAAAGTCATCTCGTAAATCGGCGAGTCCTCGATTACGAAGAAAACGTAATCGCTCAAATAAGGCAATGGTATCTGAGTGGTATTGTCCTCCTTGACGATCCTTTCCGATATCAGGGGCAAAATGATGTGATAGGGCAAAGCGCCTGTATAACTAAGGCTCAAATATACGATTGTGAAGAATCGGCCGATTTTAGCAGTGTTCATCATTACCAACCGATCCTCTTCGCATTCCACGTCTCTGTATTGTATCTCCATCTCCATCAAGCAAAATCGGATCTCCTCTCTGTTAATTATAATCGTCCAAAATTTAATGATCGCCAAAAGGCTGAAAATCTGTGCGGCAATCACTTTCATGTATTTGGTCAAATTTTCGCAATCGAAGTAAGTGTAAATCACGTGTGGTAGTAAGAGGAAACACATAAGAAAAAAGACAATTCCTATCTGAACGTAAAATTTTACGTTATCTATGAACGTGTTCCTCCTAGGCCAGATTCCGATCAGTGTCAATAATGTCTTGGCGACGTGTACTGTGTATTCTGCGTCCGATTTGTAATGAATGTTACGATAATTCGTGGTATTTTCCATTTCCTCGCCCATATCGTTTCGATAACACGATTTTCTGATTCTCCTGTACACGGTGGAAAACCTGCTCGATGAAAAACTCTTTGAGCGATTGCGAACGACTGTGAAAAGCGAATGGCGTTGGGCGGCCATTGGCGCTTGCGTGGAAAGCCAAAACGGTCAGCAAGCAAGCTGTTATTATCTCGTGAAAATTTAATGGGAAAATTTTTTTCGGAAAAAAAGAAAATTCAAAGATTCGAACAATTTATTACGCGTGAACTATATTATCAGGCATCGAATGAAATACTTATTGGCCGGAAGTGCAGTACAAGCTACGATTTACTGTCCATTTTGAAGCAAGATCGTACACTACCTTGCATAAATAAATCGCGTTTCGAAGTTTACCCATATTTTGATCATTTTCTTATAGTGTCCATGCGATTTTGTTGCAACATTTTCTCAACAATTTGATCAATTTATGTTTTTTTATGTTTCTTCTTGCAGGCAGGAAAGTTGTCTGCAGGATAGGGGCAGTAATGCTTTATTTCGACATAAGCTAACGTAACTCATGAGTCATTTTGCCACGAGCAATATTGTAACTTTTATATAACCTTGATAAATAGAAACATAAAATTTCTTGTTAGTTAATCCTCTTGAACTGCAATTTTCAATCGAACACTGATTCGACGAAGAATGCAATTATCATTGACACTCATCGATAAGACAATTTCTTTTCAACTGTGTTGCGAAAGCACGATAGCTATCGATGATTAGTATTGTCGTAATTCGAGTGTTGATTACAGTACCGTTACGGTAGCTGTTAGTTAAAGCTTTACCAGTGCACCATGGAGAGCGACAATCAAAGTAAAAATTTCCAAAATGAGTTTATAGACATTTTATAGACGTTATTCGGGACATAACGAAAAAATTTAAACGTTTTATGTTTTCAGAATCGGCATGGACGATGGAAAAGGGCACAATGACTATGTTTATAGCCGAGGTGATAGGTACTGGCATTCTCCTGTTCGTTGGTTGTATGGGTTCTATTGGGACGATGAGTCCGATATTACCGCCGCCATTACAAACGTCCATGGCGTTTGGTAT